TATAATCACAATCTGATAGATAGAAAGTGGGGCTCTGTCCCCGGTACTTGCAGAGGCCCTATGCATTTTTCAGCATAGTAACCCCTCATCGCAGATGCCGAGATTCGAACCCGAGACCTAACCCTTGTGGCACTCCGTCACTACCAGTTGAGCTACGCCCACCGGTTATTTGTGCAAAAGTATGAGTGAAGTGTATATCAGAGTGTGACATTAACTTTATACTCTATACTATATATGTGTAAGGTTTCATTTATAGTTGCCTTTCTTTTAGCACTTTTCATGAGTAAACATATATGACTATATATAATACGACCCTTTTGCAAATCATTTCCGTTTTAGTGGTTCTAGCTTAGCTTATCTTTTCTTTCTTATTCAAATATTTAATATACTAATGTTGTTCTGCTCGTATGGTTTTTTTTACAAGAAGGTTTGGGTAGCATAAATATTTTGACATCTAAATTCAATTGGGACTCCATTAAAAATGCAGAAAGAAAAGGTTACTAATAAGATTGATGAACTTAAAGACCGGTTACTAATAAGTTCTTTGATAGATCTGCATTTATATTGCCATGGCAAACACAGTTTATAATAAGTGTCATTTCACATAAGTTCACCAGACATAACTCATAACATTGATGAGCTTATCTAATTTGAGTTGCTTTTAGAACTTCCTTTCATATTTAGTCTGCCCTGATTTGCCAAATTCAGAAAGAAAATATATTCAAAGGCTTGTTTCATCCATTGAGAAAGATTTTGTCAAGGAATTTCGTATAGAAAAGGTTCCTTTTTTAGCTTTATTCATTTTTTCTGGTTAAATTAATTTAATCTCCTTACTCATGCGTTAGTTGGTTTATTTCTATTCTGTTATTGAACTGCTCCAATGATCTAAATGTGTTGTGCTGGGTCGTGGAACTGCGCTCAAGGACATTCCAGATGGTATTTATTCTAACTACATGGGTACTATCTACACCTACATACCTATCTATTGTAATAGTAATCTTGAATGCCCGTTATGGCGGGTCATCTCAAACTCTCACCTGAAGAGTGCCAAACATTGATTTGCGTTGAGTGTTGATTTGGTGTCTTCTATGCATTCACAGGGATGCCCAAGATTGTTTTTTGGCTTTTTCCTTTTGACCCAGCAACCTATCATGACATAGGGATGCTAGGATTATCCCTAGCTGCTTTATCGGAATGCCATATTTTGGTTTTGTGATATCTTGGTTGCTGTTGATTTGGGCCATAAAAATATTTGGGTCACACTTTTTCATTTGCAATCTCACCAGAAGATTATGATTCAGTGGCATATAAATTATCCAGAAAGTAGATGGGTGATATTTTCAAATTTCTACATACAATTCTCTTTGGAAGGAGAGGAAAGGTGACTTTCCAAGTCTTAGCTTGTTCATCCTAATGTGATTTAGAATGCATTAAATGCTGGGCATAAAAGTATGCATGGTAAGTGGACAACTGTGTGTAATATTTTACTAAATATATAGATTAATTATTGGCTTCATTTTTGAGCCCCCAGCCCCCAATCCCCATGTAACAAGAATAATATGCAGCATTTCCAAGCTGAAGCTATAAATTACTTGTCTCCTACTTGCTCTTTGTTTTCAAGCATTTCTTCTTTCAGTCAGTTTATGATAATCATGTTTTTACGTGGTCTTGCTTATTCCTGTTTCTTTAACTGGTCTTTATATTTACAGGTTGCCAATTTAAGAGTCATTTGTCGCGATTTTCTGGTTTTGTGTGGAACGAAAACGTGGTAATGAGTTGCTTTGCTGGAGAACTGTCATCCCCTTTATTAATTTAATTTTGAATTGCATTTTTGAAGTGGCAATGTGGTACATTAATATGATAAATTTCTCTGTAGGAAAAAGCAAAGGCTGAAGTTAAAGTAAAATTTGACATGTTAAAGAAACTGAAAGAATTTTTTTTGTGATTTTGTGATGTGCTTAACCTACTTGTAGCTAAGACCACATCAAAGAAGGTTTGTTGACTTTATCTTGCTTGATAGTTCTCTGTAAAGATGTCAATAGTACTTTAGTAAAACTCCCTGCCATTTTCAACAATTCCTTGAAGTTTTTGTGCTTTAGACTATGATGTAATGTAATGCAATTGAATGAAGTACGTAATGCAATACAAAATGCAATGTAATGGAATGAAGTTTCTATTCCATTACTATGTTTGGTTACTTAAGTAATACGGAGTAACAATTTTGAAACGTAATCACTATTACATGATTATTTTTGTTTATGTATGTGTAGAGTTAGAAAAGTTAGTGCATAAGAATGATAACCACAATTCGGAATAAAAAAAATTGAAAAAAAAACACGAATCCGTTAATGCATGCTCTTCTAGAATTGGACAACTAGCCAGAATTTATATCTATTGGACAACTGCCCCAATTCGGTAAAAAACGATTAAATAAAAGTGCCGCACAAAGATGAAACTGCCGGCCTGCCCGGCCAGCAACGAGCCGCGGTTGAAGCTCTCGGCGGTAGGCTAGCAATAAGCTTGTAATCTCAAATACACAACTTTTTAATGTAAAGCTTATTACATCTATGAATGTAATGAATTCCACACATACAATGCTCATTGTATTACGGTTTTAAATAAAATGTCATACCAAACATCGTATTCGAATCAACACGTAATACTCATTACATTACAAGGTTCATTACATCATACCAAACATGGCCTTAGAGTATTTTATATTCCCTGCCATTTTATGTTCCTTGAAGTCTTTATTATTATGGTTACTAAATGTTAATCATTTGCCTCTGAATAACATGTATGTTTTTTGTTTGAAACATGGTTAGTACCAAAAAGGTCGCCTAAATAAACACAAGGCTGGCTATGCTTTTTAATCTTAAATGACCCGTATTGCTTGTAATGTAGTTCTATGCTTTGCTTTACTTGTATAATATTTCGTGCAGAGGATTGTACTTTGAGAAATGAATGCATCCTCTCTTCCTACTTGAAACTTATTTCATTTTTGTTCTTGCTATTGGAGTTTGATTTGCAAGCATGTCCTACAAATAGTGTATTTCATAAAATGATATTGGGCATTTACACAATCGCGCAACGCGCGTATAAAAACTAGTTTACAAAATACAAACTAATCCTGACCATTGATTTTAATAATGCAACGGTCAAGATAGAAAACCAATGTCATTAATGGTTGGTCCCATGTTGTGGTTATAGGAGAAAAATTCTCCCACTAATACGATTGAGTATTAATGCTCAAATAAAATTTGACCCTTAATTTTGTTATATTGGACGGATGAGATGAATTTGCATTTTGTACCGGAAGCACACTTTGTATCCGATCTTAACCATATATATATATATATATATATATATATATATATATATATATATATATATATATATATATATATATATATATATGGCTAAGAAAATTAAAATAAATAAATATGGAGAAAATAATATTATATATATATATATATATAAATATGGAGAAAATAATATTATATATATATAATATTATTTTCTCCATATTTATTTATTTTAATTTTCCCGAATCTTATTAAAGTTTCTTTCATGAAAGACTATATACTTAAGTTAGGATCAGAGACTTTTGTGAAAATAATGGAAAGGCATACCCCATGTGGTAGCCTAGATGTCACATATATAATAATAGGAGTTCGGAGTACATTAGGAAACAAATAAATATGGAAACCTAGCATGTGATCACCGGGATCACCGGTTAGCGTCGAACCTCTGAAGCGCGCTCTGCCTGCCGCGGCACTGCTTGATTCACCAGGAGAGTTGCCGGAAAATAAGGGGTGCGGCTGAATCGTAGGAGGGGTCGGCGTCCATGTAAACAGTGGTGGAACCCACGTGGAATGTAGCGGCGAGAACGAAACCTCGTTCGGAACGGGTTCGGACTGCGGCGGCGCTGAGGACGAGCCATGTTGTTCTGCCGCGCTCGAAACCGGTGCTTCAGGAGCCGGTGTAGTCATCGCGGCCGTGGTGAAGGAAGAAGCCGAGACGGTGGCGGCGGCAGATACAGTCGACGAAGCCATGAAAAAGAAATTGTCTAATAACCTAGGGCTCTTGATACCATGTGAAAATAATGGAAAGACATACCCCATGTGCTAGCCTAGATGTCATATATATAATAATAGAAGTTCGGAGTACATTAGGAAACAAATAAATATGAAAACCTAATTAAAGTATTAATTACATTATTAACTTTTTGGTATTTTTGGTTGATGCATTGAGCTGAATTGCATTCTGGTATGCATGTTGGACTGTATAGTCTCTACTGTATATAGAATACCGAAACAAGTATAGTGAAATATATTTAATTATTTATATTTGAATATTAAATTAATATAATATTATATTAGTATAATAAAAAAATACATTATTCTTTTCTCATTAGGAAACAAATACGTTGATATAAAGCTTATGAGAAAAAACTAATAAGTGCTCAATATAATGTGGCATGTAATTAAGTATGTATGTATCCCTATATCTAGTCATATTTTATTCATGTACTTTGCTTTTAATGATTGGAAGCAACGTAATAACCTATTAGCAGCATCAAATATGTAGAATATTTATATACTCAATGAATTATATTGCTATAAAAATACATGTGGATCTATAATATACTCCCTAGCTATCCCATGATTCATTGATTTGTGTAAAGTCCATTTTATAGTTAACACGATTTGGTGTTACTTGTTTATTTAGAACATCAACTTTTTATTATATTATAATTCGTATTTTACGGTTTTATAGAACTTTTAACCCATTTTCTGAATATTTGAATAGAGAATTCAATTTTATCATCCATAAATTTGAAAAGTTGCAAGTTGCAACAATTTTGAATGAGAATAATTGTGAGGCATGCATTGATGTAATGCTCTAATATATATAACATGTACACATATATATTGATTATAAACTTCAGACTCGGCATTTAATCAATCACTTGTCAATTTTATTAATCCATACATAACAGCGTATATGCATGTTGCCATATTGGCCATAGTACACTAAGTTAGTTTTATTGAACAAAAAACAATAAAAAAATGGGGAAAATTGAAAGAATGAAAGAATGAGAGATTATAAGTGACTATAGAATGTAATAATCTCATAATTAGCACGTTAGCGTTTGAAGCTAGCTAGCTTATGATTATCTGATAAATTAAATATCTCAACCATTGTGGGTAGGGTTTCCCGACGGAGGGGTGGGCTTCCGCCATTGCAGAGAAGGAAGCAGCAAATGATTATCCAACGACGACGATGACATCACTTTCCGGGGCAAGCCAACAGCACCAAAGTTCTTTTCTCCGACGAGAGCGGTGTTCGTCCCAGGGTTAGGCGTCGGAGATTTGGCCGATTTCCATAGAGATGGTAAAAGGAGAGGACCCCTTACATTCTTATTCTTATTCTCCACGGCGGCAAAGTGCTTCTCGCCGAGAGTGGCCACGACGGCGGGGGCTTTGTTGGTCCCGGGGTTCCGCTCCGGAGGATTAGGGTGTTTCCACTGTAGAGACGGCAGCAAAAGACGTTCATCAGGAAATAATCTTGTGGCTTCAAGAGGTTTGATGCTTAGTATAATTATTAGAAGTGTAGAAGTAAAAACTAACAATTTGGAGATATTAGTTTTATTACAAGGGAGATAAAAGTGTGCCATAATAGGACCACTCTTGTTAAAGGAAGAAATTTGAGTAATAAATATATATATAGGATTGTTTTTACCGGTTGAAATATAAGTAAATAATTTAATGAGATATAGCTTGATGAGGTAAGTTTATGGTTAAAAATGAATATTGGGAGAAGGATTTGTGTTTAGGTAGAGAGAAATTAATGAAAGTGGTGAATATAATTGATGTCAAAAGGGAGGGTAGAGGGGGTTTATTTATAAGGTTGGAAGTCAAACCTTGACTTTGGTAGATGAACTCGCTGCTTGACCGTAACAGTTTGACCGGGATAGTACGCAGGAGAATGTATACGGTAACGTAGAAAAGTACAGAGCTTGAATGGGTCATCCACTCGTCCCAAGGTTTGTTTAGAGGGTGCAATTTATTTATGTTATTTACTTGTTCTAATTCAATATTTCAGTGCTATAAAAAATTCAACGAAACACGCACTGAATTCATGAATTCAAGTATTATGAGGTGTATAGTGTATACTAACAGCTCGTTGGTTAGTCTGAATTTCAGCTTATCAATTTAATTTTTTTATTAAACACGTCTCTTAAGGTGTGGGTGGAAGTATGTTTTGAGGTGAAGAGAAAAATATGTGAGGATTGATGACCCTTTTATTTATGTTTGGAAGTTTAAAAAGTGTGGAGGAATGATTTTGGGAAATTTTTGTGACCCTCTAAAATCACTTAAGGCTCAAATTTTATGTTTTTTCCAAAAGGGGGTATTGATGCATGACTAACTACATAATAATTTAAGTTCAATTTAAAATCAATATTGGTACATTTATTTGAATTCATCATACTTATGAGTTATGAAGTAATTTTAATTATAATTCTATCTAAGATTGGACTCTTTTTCCAAATTTACTATTCCCAAATAAGAAAAATATTTTTCTCGCCGTCCCCACCCCTTCCTCTCAAACAACTGGCCTTCAAAGCGTTTCCCTCCCCTAATTTCCTCCAAACTCCCAAACATACCCCTTAATGAATTTGGGACACTAAATTATGTGACAATCAAAATAAGTAATGAGAAGTTATTTTTGTGACTCAAATCGTTGTAAACAGCCATTTTAAATATTTTCATATAATTTTTTCTCTATAATTAAACAAAATCATTCAACTAAGTAGATGTACCAAAGGTTTTATCAATTTTAGTAGATTCAAGCGACAATTCTATCGATACTTAAATAATTAATGTACGTATAATCTTGCTCTTATTATGGTGTGTGAGTGTGTCTACCAACTCCCATCCGTAATACTCCGTATAGTATGGTTTAAATATTGTTTAATGTACGTAATCTGGTTTTAATTGTGGTGTGTCTACGGTCTACCAACTCATATTCCGCAACCCGTACACTGTCACCGTACATGTCTCTAATGTGTGTCCTTCACGTTTGGGTTGGAGAAAGGGAATCCGAATGATGTTAAATTGAATATGTGAGTACTAGTATCATTTATACACGGAGTATATACTTCTATATATTATTGATATAACCTTTTCCTTGTTATATGTACATATCATAGTGATCGTGAATGCAAGAATACCCTTATTACTAAAAAGTCGGGATTTTCCCATAGAGTAATATCATCCTAAAATAAAAATGTAATCATTACGATAGTATACTATCACTATGAACTATGAAGTCATAATTCTATCGCCAAGCTAAATTGTCATCATCAAGCATTATTATCATTTTGATCGTAACAAAAATGCCATGTCGATCGGCATTTTGTGACATATACAGTGACGGGTAAAGAAATGTCATAAGGAATTTATCTTCTTTCATAAAAATGTCATCTCGACTCGTAGAATAAAGAAATTGTGGTTTACTGATAAGAAGTATTTGTAGACTCCACGGATGGAGAGGCGATTTAGAAAGTGGATGCATGAATTCTGGTAGAGAGAGGAAGAGGTTGGTCATGGTGATATGGATGAGCTAGTACGGCAAATTAAAACTATGAAAGAAGAACCGATCCTAGGGGTAGAAGGGTAATAGGAAATCCTAGCTATTGGGGAGCTTAAAATATGTATTCATGCTTTTATATACTCCCTCCGTCCCATTTTACTTAGCCATTATATGTTTATATATAGAAAGCATTGATAATGTGAAAATGGTATGAAAATGTTATTTGCTAAAAATACTATCATAAAAGTATAAAATTATTAAATTTTGCATAAATATATTAGTTGAAATAATTGGTCGAAGTTTATCAATTTTCATCTTTGACTAGAAAAATCCAATATGACTAAGTAAATTGGGACGAAGGTAGAATTATATTCACGGATGTAATAAAGTATATGGATTTGGATCACCAATCTCATGACTATTGGTCTATTCACTACAAAAAAACATGGGATTGGCAGAGATTTTTGCATGGATTTGGCGCGGATTTTGGCAGGGATACACCAAATCCGTGCCAAAAATGCTTTGGCACGAGCCACTTGACACGAAAAATTGATAAGTCCGTGCCAATCCCGCCTTTTTTTGTAGTGTACTGGACTTGGATAGTGACACACATACATCCAACAAATATCAATTACATAGTATATTATTGTACATCTTTCTTATTTATTTGTACATTTTAGATTAGCTTAGTCTTTATACCATTTTGTAGCCTTTTGGGTGTAATTGGGCATGGTAGGCTTAACCTAGCAACCCGCCGAACTCACATTTCCCTTGTACTTTCTTTTGGGAGGATGGATTAATTATAGTCATTTGCATTTTTCTTTCTATCTTTCACTTCTCTCTACAATAATACTACGTACACGCACGAGAAGCACTATCCATCATAATGATACACTCATATTTATTGAGACAATTTCTTTATTTTTTAATTGTTAGTTTTTTGCACGTCGTAGTCTAATAACCATAAGATAAACAAAATTAATAATAAATTCTATTATCATGTCGTCCTTAATTAATCTGCTACATTGTCATCTCTAATTTCCCGACTAATTCAGTCGAATATACTCTTACTATATGGATTCTATAGAAAATGTGCTACATATGTACCATTTACCAAACAATTGCAAATTAATCTGCTCCATTGGTAGATCCTTTGTTTTTATGGATCAAAATTTAAAAATAAGCTGGAATTCAAACAATTATTACCACAAGAAGATGTGTGTACTAGAAATTAAGATAATTAAAATAATTAGAGATGCAAAATGTTTGTACCAAATAAAATTGGAAAAGAACCTTAAACCTTTAATTTATTTCGTACAAAATTTATAACCTAAACGAATAAAATAAAGAATAATCCAATGAAGTAATTGATGAGATTAACACTAAATCATATGCCTAGTTGAGGACCTTATTGTCTACATTTTGTATATTAAGCTAAGTTAGAAGAAAAGAAAAAACGCAAAAGCTCTTGTGCGCGGCGGTTTCCGGCAAGAATATATTTTTCCGGCCTCGATCTCTCGTCGTAGGCCGTGGCTAGTTGTCGCTGGCGTTGTGGTTAGCATCCTCGGCGACGCCGAATTGGATGTTATGGCGGGGCAACGCCGCCGCCATCGCCACCGCAGGTGTATAATGGTGACCGTCAGGATGAACCGCCGCATGGGAGTTTGAAATGGTAATACAATCAACGGCGGCGAAGTTTTTATTTCCAAGAGTGGCGGCGGCATAAATCCCCGGCATTGGTGCCGGGATTTCGACGGGGCGGAGTGACAGCACGCCACTGGAGGGAACTCAAAAGAAGACTATCGCGCTGACCAGCTGCGGCGGCTTTCTTGATCATCATCCATTCTTTGTCTTCCTCATCGAGAATCCTGGCAGCTTCACACGGCGGTTGTATGGTGATCACGATAAGAAGTAGGGCGGCGCCGGCTATAGCAGCCGAGGAGAGAACGTTTTTCGCCATCTTAATTCGTGTTTAATTACCGGTGCAGCTAGTTATATTGATATCTTGTATGGGTCGTACGAGCTTATATATAGACACAAATTTAGTATATAATTCGGGTTTGGGTATAAGAAAGAACGTAACTTTGACCGTTGACTAATCGAGCAAAGGTTTGCATGAGAATGGAACGAGTCATGCCCTATTATGAAATAGACTTCAGGAGTGTTTGCCCTACCTTACTAAAAATGCTTTTATGCTTATCAGAATCGCTTCTTTCTCAAACACTACCAACTTTTACTATCAAGTATTTTTTCCAAAATCACTTTAAAAATCACTTTTTTGAAGTAGAAGCAATCGCAAGCACTCCCTTCCTCATCCCTAACGGTAAGGATGTTTTTACTTGATCCATGAACCGGAAAACGTCCGGTCTGTGTATTTTATAATTGTCCAAATATGATCTGGTCTAATCTGATCTAGTCTAGTCTGGTCTGATTGATCTGGTCTGGTCTGGGATTGAAAATAGTCCAAGTAAAAACATCCTAAGTTTGGGTGTTGGGGAAGGGGGTGGAAAGACGTACTTTGAAGGTATGTTGTTGAGCGGGAAAATGAGGGGGAAAGTAAGAAAACTCCTAATTGTATTTGAGAGTAATAAATTTAAAAAACGAGTGTTTGAATGAACTATAATTAGAATCACTTCAAAATATGAAAGATTCAAATAATTGAACTGATATTCATTTTAAATTGATCTTAAATTATCATTTAATTTCGTTAACTATCTTTCGAGACCGTTCAAATTGGTGGAACTTAAAAATTGAGCATTAAGAGAATTTTGGGGTAACAAAAACCCTCCAAAATCACTCCTTCCGATTTTTTAAACTTCCAAACATAAAAAGGAGAGTTATAAACCCCCATCAACACTATAGAGGTGTTGGTTTGAGAGTGCCGAAAGCTTCTTGCAGATGAAAGATTTATCAAATTTCAACCTACTTTTCGCGTAAGAAATAGTTGTGCAGCTCACTAGCTAATGCATGCCGCTCACGTGTAAGAAGAGACTCTCAATACTTCGCGAAGCACCTATATGGATTAAGAGCCTACTTCAGGAGGATCCTAATGGTTTCGAGCGTACCAGATTTTAATGTATTTTTTTTCTTTTCTCCGTTGTATCCAAAAAATAAACCTTCATCAATTTTCTCCCTCCAAAACCTAACTCCTAAACATACCCTTAATTTCCAAAATTAACTCTGTTAAAAATAAAACAATATTCAAGATGACTTTAATTTAATAAATAATATTCAATAATATATGATTACATATTAGTAAAACATT